GAAACGCGCCAAATAACGTCCACAAACAAGCTTACTTAACCTTTGTTTGCCCACAGCTGGAATTTGCATCACCCATATGGTCCCCCTTCCAAGCCTATCCCATTAACCAGCTAGAAGCTGTGCAAAACAGGGCGGCACGGTTCATTTCACGTATTTACAGTCGTCCCTCGAGCGTCACACAAATAAAACATGACCTTTCATTACAGCATCTAGACATACGGCGCACAGTTGCCCTCCTGTCTTTGCTTCATAAATATATTCACGCGTCCAGGCCACCACCCTTCCCACTAACAGCACCATTGCGCATGTCTAAACGACTTCACAATCAGCGAAGCATCACACGCATCTTTGGAAAAACGAAATCATTCAATACATCGTCTTTGCCTCGTGCCATAGCACTCTGGAATGACCTACCCGACGTCATTGTCAATTTAACTAATCATGAAAATTTTCGCGAGCAATTAATGATACATCTATCTCAATAGCATTGTATAACCTCCTTGAATTCTGTTTTTGTTCTTTGTGCTTTTTGCGGCTGGGAAATTCTTGTTGTTGCTTGAAGCCCCTCTTTGTCATTTGTGCAACCACTGTTATTAGTTCTAATGTTATTACTTGCTTTGTATTTTTATTAGTTATTAGTTATTAGTTGCTCTGTAGTTGCTTTGCTTTGTAGTTGCTTTGTATTGTGGCAGAAGTATCACCCACTAGCATTCTTTCCTATGTACCCCCCTTACTCTATGCTCCGTAATAGAGCCTGTAAGGTATTTAAAAAAAAGGCAGACATACAAAATATAGAGATGTTGCTATGGCGCCTCAGAAATGCGCAATATTTGCTTTTAAATTGACAATTGCACAACGATGAACACTAAACGTTGAGTAATATTAGTGGGCGGTGCGGATGGGGTTGGCCGTTTAGTGCCGTTTGAGAAATAGTTAGGGCGGACAAACAGACAAATGTACGGACAGACAGACCAAAATATTCTCGTCGAAGGTTCCCAAGAAAGACTAGCGTCCTTAAAAAATGGCCCCGTATCTGAATGTTACACAGCAAATGTCGTCGAAAGACGATAGTCTTGCGCCTGGAGACAGTTAACAAAACGTTTATTCGATGTTCTGCGCAAGAAAATTGGTAAGTGGTATTGTGGAGGCGCTGCGTTCAAGTGCCTCGAGCGTGCAGCGGAGGCGAACGAGCGCATCAAGTTACGTCACACGTGAGACATGAGAGCTATCTGGCAGTTACCTTCGAAAACAAAGCGCACGCGCCCTGCGCGCCCGTCTCGCAGGTGATAAGGTGTAGAACGCAAGGCGACGGGTAGGTGCCACCACCGTGTCGTGTTAGCACCGCGTTGGAAACACTTGCCTTTTCGTGCAAGCGTTGCCTGGTCGGCGCAACGTGATAAACGCTATGGTACTTAGAATTACATATGTATGCCTTCTGTAATATAAAGATACAACATACAGAATATTGACGTGTTGTTATGGTGCCTCAGATATGCGCAACAATTGCTTTTTAATCGACAATCGCAGAAGTATGAACGCTTAACCTTGAGCAATATGGTGGGTGCTGCTGACGGGGTCATCCATTTGGAGTTTCGTTTGGCCACTTAGGGGCCATTTTGGGTACCGTTAAGGGTGGACAAGCAGACAATTCTGCATACAGACAAAAAATTTTTGTTTCGAAGGACCCCAAGAAAGACTGTCGTCTTTAAAAACTTTTTCTGTTTGGGAATGCAGTGAAAGGGGTTTTAACGCTTTACATATACAAGACTGGCATGCCCCCGCTATCGCTGACGAATCTCGATTTGAGTGTACTTCCGCAAGCAGTGCCCACACCAGGCGTTGCGCAGTCCACGCGCAATAAGGATTATGTTCTCTTTCAAGCGTTCGTCGTATGCTGACGTACATTCCGCTGCTGTCCTACGCGGGTCTGTCTGTTGGGCAACGTACAGCCGCGGCCACGTCTGTGTAGAGAGCGCGAACAGCCGGTTTTCACTGTGCGGGGCGAAACTTTGGGTCAGATTCTGGCTCTGAAGTGGTCTATCAGGAGCATGCGCGGCCTAGTTATCAGGCTGACCAAGTCAGAGCGTGTTCTTTTTTTATGCTTCCCTGTGTATATTCTTATTTTTGTATATCTTTTGCAATAGCAATGAGAAATCACAACTAACATCTAATAGGTATGTAAAACAATACAATTGCTATATATGTATTTGTATACTACAAATAACACTTTATTACTGTTGTATGTGCTAGAGTATTTGCACATGTACCTTTTTGTATTTTTGTATATTTTTGTATTTTTTGTATGTTGCGAAATTCTTACAGCCTTTCTGCCTCACTGCATTTGTAGCAAAGGCCCTTAGTCAAACTTTTAGCCTTTTTTCTTCGCTCCATATTCTGTACTGGCACAGACAGAAACAAATAAGGAAAGAAAGAGCCCAATCTTGCAGGTGTTGCCCCAGAGATCAAAAACCGGCTGCTCGCGTGCTCTACACGGACGTGGCCGCGGCTTTACGTAGGGTGGCCATAACATGCTTCACTATACAACATGAAATATGGCCGCGATAATGCGTGGTAAAAGCGTAAATTGCCATCGGGAGTCAGAACATGGGATTTTCACAATGACTTCATACTGAGTTCATAGCTATCGGGTGGGGGGGGTGCGGCGCTAATGTTTTGGAGAACCGTTACCCTCCCATCTCGTATAGTGATTTGACAAAATATTTTTACCTGGTGCAGAGACAATACGCTCCACCAAACAAAACTAAACAGACCTCAGTCTCTGAAACTCAGGGTTCTTCAGGTCGGGGCGTACCCTAATCCCGCGCTATTGAACAGAATTTATCCCGAAATACAGCCAACTAATACATGTTCCTTCTGCGGCAATATAGCTACCTTGTAACATATGCTGTGCCGGTGCGCCGCGTTGCGCTGTGGGGAAGTCATCACGCCGTCGAAATGGGAGGGTGTTATTGCAAGCTCTGGACTCAAACAACAGTCATGGGCAGTCTACCGGGCCCACGACGCAGCAAAAAGACTTGGTCTTTCTGTGCCAACGTGGGCAAAGCCCGCAACCTGCTAAACCATGTTCCGAAGGACCAAATTGAGTTCATTCATTCATCCAAAGTTTCAAGACAGCCACCCACTATAAAAAGCACACACGCTACTGCAACCTCAAGGTCACGTAGTGGGGGCATAGCAAGTTTGAAAAGATTTCAATCGCCAAGTGTTCGAAGAACGCACTAAGAACAGAATATCGCTATCACGTTCAACTCTTAAAGGCGCTGCTTAAAGGTACCCCAATTGATTCGTATAAAAACGCTACACTTTTTATTTATATGTAACACTATCATACTTAAATGCCGCAGAACGATAATGAAATGGAAACAATTACAAAGTACCTCAATAAATGCAGAAGATACGTACAGGTTAGTTTTGCGTCCTCTTGTTCACCAGACATCTTCAGTATATCAAGCAAATACTGTTCTCTTGGTCAAATTTACAATAACTGGCCTCGCTACATATTTCTAACATACCACCATCACCACGACCTCATTGTGAAGAAGGAAGGTTTTGTTGTAAATATTCTACATTCAGACTTTCCGCTCAGTTATATTAGCTTTTGTACTTGATGTGTTTTTGTGCCTCCGCTGGCATGCGGTTATGTGTACTGGTTTATGGTGTCGTAATTTGTTACAACAGTCCTGAATACATGTATAGAAAATGTTCAAATAGGTTTTGATTTGAACTCTAGCGAGGGAAGGACAATTCAACATATACCTGTGTGCCACTTGAATTTGCGAAATTCCTTTTCATATCCTCATCTTTTGTTTTGTAAGTCCATTCATGGTACTTTCGGAGACGTTTTTATACCATCATTAGAGTAACCAAGACAGCACTGACACCAATTTCTCCCTTGTATTTTTGTGTATTACCAATGTCTAGTACCTGCGTCTCCGTTTCGACAACAAGGTGGGGATCACTGCGTGCCTTGTCTACTTCATCTTAAGCGTAAGTTGTACAAATAAACGAAAAAGAGCTTTTGTTTAGCGATTTCTCGTTATCTCATTTTTTTTCAAAGAAGGAAGAAAAAGAAGCATAACACTAGACATGCAACCTAAATGAAATGGATGGCCTGAGGTTAACTTGAGCGTAAGATCGGACATTTTGCATCGTTAAAAACTAATGAAAAAGCTGATTTCGCGTGAATAGTCTCGAATCAGCTTTTTTTTTACTATGTTCGATATATATTTTTTGGGTTTTGGAACGAGTTTCGACAGCGATGGCGGCACTAGTTATTTATCTCGCATTCAATATTTTGTTTCCTATGTATTTATCGTTGAAATCTTGTGGTCACCCTCAACTCTTGGGCGAAAATTTCGTACAGCTTCACTTCACAATCACGAATGCCAAACGATGGTCACTGTAAGAAATCCCGAAGAACCAACGGATATTACACAACGCCAGAAAGCCTGGTAGTGCCATGTGTATCTTAATTGTTCCGCACCGACAAGTGCCAGAACGTTTGTAAGGCTAGAAATTTGCATCGAGATCCAATGATTGACCTTGGCAACATGACAAATACCAGTTGTGAGTTATGTATATGTTTCATAAGGTTTTATAGAAAAATTACGATCTAGGCTCTGAGCTTCTTCATATTTCACCACTCATGGAATGGCATCAAGCTGCTTGGAAACCTAAACACTTCATTTTCTCATCTCGCCTTAGACATAAGGAGGAATTCGGCAAATTGTATCACTGATTTATATATAGTTGATAACATCAGAACAAGGACAAATTGAACACAATCAATTGTAATTGAACTTCTTCGATCACGTCTTTCAAGCGTATTGGGCACGGTACTATGTTTTTAGAATGAAACATAATGCTTCCACCAGCCTCGTAAGGAGTTTATTTATTGGGTATGTTGTAGCAACTGTGCTCATTGTAGTAATGATTTTAATAATAAGAAAAAGAAATAACACTTCATGCCATAACCTAATTGCAGCAAACACTTGGTGCCGTGGGCATATACAGTGCTGCTCTTGGAATTTCCACAAGTAAGATTCCTTGCGATTCCTTATTAGTTCTACCACAGTGCTCCAATGAAAGCTATGTCAAATATTCTCTGCTATTTATTGCTTTCGCATTGACCAAAATATGTCATTGTCTAACAGAGGCGAAGTTCGGCAGTTGATTGGTTAAGCTCGTCGAACTAAATTCGTGATTTCTAAAGTAGAAGATATGGAGCCAAATTACTTTAACCTTTGGGTTCGTGTGTTGCAGATAAAACATGGCGGAAGGCAAACATATAGGAAAAAAGAGATCGGCTATTTTATTTTGTATACAAATAACCTAAAAGCGCTGAAGCCTAATATTTTGTAATCATTATTATTTATAGAAGCTTAGCAATTAAAACAGAAAATTTAAAGTAATAGAGGGTTTTTTTCACCCTTAATTAAAGAGCACTTTTAGAGTGAAAAAGTAGTAAAGAAATACAGCCATGAACGGAAATGTGCAAGGTTTTAAGCAACTATTGATTGGGCTGAAGGCAAAAATCTCCATGATTTTGTAGTCATAAGGCACTGAGATAAGCCTCAAAAGTATTTAACCTTACTACAAAGAACACAGCAATGTTTTTCTTCTCAAAGATAGGATCCCACAGCGTTCAAACGTGCTACAAGGTAACCGTGTGTAGACAAAGCACAGACATGGAATGACCGGGTAGAGTGGTCACATATATTTACAAATTATCGTATATAATGAACTAACTCAATTCATAGTTGACTATCTAGGTTTATAGAAGAGCACTATGATGCCGGTTACTATACAGTAATTGATCTAAACGTGTTCTCGGGCTAATAGATCTAAAAGAAATTGGGAGGCACAAAGGAACCACGAATAGTCCGGTCCGTTGTTCTCTTCCTGTCCTTGTGCCTCTAAATTTTTATCATATAATACAAGGAGCAGGTGTTGAGCAGAACGTCGGAATTTCGGGTGAGTTGGTAAGAGCCCTTTCTTAAAAAAAAAGGCAGACGTGGAGGCATGGGCACAAAAAGAATTTGAATGACACAAACCGCAAATATGTTCACTTTATTTGTTTTCTTCTCTCTGTGTTTCCACACGTTACTCTTTCAATCAATTATCCCTAATTTAATGAATCAACAATACGGGACCACAACACCTCCCTTTTGTTTGGTGCATGTGACCCTACATCATACAATGAGAGCAGCAGGATCTCCCACTCTTTTCGAATGCTTCAAGTAATAATCAATATTGCGACAACAAATTAACGGTACGCGGAAAGAAGTTAATTAGGACTGATGCCGTGAGTGAAAAGAAAGAATCGAAGTCCATAGTTTATGCGTACACTTTGCGGAAGAACTGATATTAGACAGAGGTTGTTCTTAGCGCAGGTATCATAGGTTAAATTGGCGTCGAGTGAAGGAACAAGAGAAGATAGCTGTACATTTTCGTGGGGTGGCGCATGCACGCTTTGTTTGTTTTTGAATCACCATGCCATATTGTTGGTTTTTCTTAACTCTGGAAAGCATGTTCTTATACTTGAGCACTCATTGAACCTAAATACAGTACATAGACTTCAGGTCTGCAGAACAGGTGGTGAACTAAGATGCTTGTCATTCTGGTGATATGAAAATATCACGTGATACTGCATTAAAGCGAGAAAAAAAACACGCAATCGGTACTTCTGCGAGAATCTCAGAGACACTTTTACAAGATACCACGTTGAAATATGAAGCCTTCAAGTGCTAATATGGTTGAGCAATATCTGATAGGTCGGCTGCTAACCCGCAGGGCGCTAGATCGAATCCCGGCTGCGGCGGCTGCATTTTGAATAGAGGCGAAAATGCTGCAGGCCCGTGTGCTTAGACTTAGGTGCACGTTAAATAACCCCAGGTGGTAGATATTAACGAAGCCCTCCACTATGACGTCTCTCATAATCATATTGTTACGTGTGTTACGTGTGCATACATGTAGCAATATAGTGGTTTTGAGACGTCATACCGCACATATCAATCAATCAATGTTCGATAGGGGACAGGGAACAGTTATTGTGGCAATAAAAACGAAGTTTGCGAGCGCACAGACCTAAAACGAAACGGTGTTGTATATCGAATTCACAAATGTTCACTTGATTTGTTGAAAAGTTTAGAGAAAAATTTCGTTACTTGCAACTCTATTTTTGAAGACTCATGTGACTTTTACCGAGACTATGCTGAGACTTCCTTATTTTGTTCGTACAGATAATATGAATTGCTTGCTGTATTTTTTTCAGTGTTTCCCGTGCCCCTTGTATATTCTAACATCATCATTGGCTTGGCCGGAACAGTATACACAGCGTTGGTATGATCCTTTTTTTTTCACCGGTAGTGCTGAAATTGCAGTGAAGGTGATGCACAGATTTTCGGCGTGAATCCCATCTGTGCTTTTAATGTTGTTTTAGAAGGTCTAGAAAAGTGTTTAGAAAAATGCGGTTGTACTAAAAAGAACTTCATTACATTCCGTTCATTGGTGGGACAGCTTGACGAATTGAGGTACAAATTTTAAATATAAATGGTAATAATTAGTGCTTGAAAAGAAAGCCAGTGACAGAACCTCTGAAAGCCGGCACAGAACGCGTTTCAGTGTTAGGGAAGCCTCGCGATCGCAGTAAATTGTTTTGTTAGGGTTGCGCGCAGGAGGTGAATTGTCAAACTTATTTCAGAGCTCGCGCAACCATTAGGAATAAGGCAGGAAAGTCTGATGCGTGATGTACAAAAGACAGTGCGACGCTAGCGATGAGCAGTTTTTATTGACCACCAAGGCTTTGTGTCGATATAAGTACACAGCGTGGGTTGCTTGCAGTATTTCGAGTTCCCGTCCCACGGCCAGAAGTTCGTGCGAATAAGGCTTCTCCTTTACACCTGACGACTGTTGTGCAATGCCAAGTTCAAAGTAGGTCATTTATAAATATTACTTCAAAAAAATTGCTGTTATAAGCAATAACGCCTAATCCGCTTATCGGAATCGAGTCGACGCTCCCGCAAAACCTTGTGCTGAGTACATATTGATAATTCAGTTATTGATAGAAGGAACGTTCTCCCTCTCTGCTCCAACGCTTCATTCTTTTGAGGGTTTCTTTGCGGTGCTTACAATTAGAAAAAAATATATATCCAGTGTCTGCAATAAACGCTATTCTATTATTGGACCGACTCGAATGAGGCCTATTGATTTTCTTATTTTAAAACTTTTGAATATCGGCACATTGCTATCTGCTGGGAAGGCTAGCCACTCAATCATCATCACCACCATCAACATCATCACCACCATCATCATCATTATTATTACCATCATCATCGTCATCATCATTGTCATCATCTTCGTCATCATTATCATCATCAACAGCAGCAGCCTGACTACGCCCACTGCAGGGCAAAGGCCTTTCTCATGATTCGCCAATAAACCCGGTCACGTGCTTTCTGCTGCCTCGTTATACCTGCGAACGTTTCTGATTTTTACTTGTTGGTGTGCAAAAGTACATTAGAAAGAGACATAATTAAGCTCCTAGTAACGCAAATGATTGCGCAGAGGGTGAATGCTTACGTGCGCACAGACTACATTCTGAACAAATGTTGACAGTCCATATTCATGGGCTGACCCAACGCGTTACATGATCGTCTCTTCGAACTCCACAAATCATTCATCTAACATCGTCTTCTGATCGGAAGTATCTCACACCCACCCTACATTTCGTGACTACCGTACTTGACAACACATATGCTGGTCTGTGCCTCAATCGCGTACTAACGTTTTTCTTTTGTGAAAGGGAGGACTGCGTGGCGTGGTTTGGGCAGACTGCGTTCAAGCAATGGTGATGTTTTTATCACCAATAACAATCATTGCAAAGGTTGTTCATGACTCCCGTTATGCGACTCCACCACTGAGGTCCATTACAGAGTTCAACGTCACAGAGTACATGTTCAGGTAAGGATTGAAATTACTGCAGAACACGTAAAGCTGCGCGTTTGTAAAACTGCACTACATTTCCTGCTTGATTTATAAGTGTCTGACAGCGCACGCACGTCACGTTGTGCTGTTTAAGTAAACTGGACGCTCAGAGAAATCCCACAGAGAGAACGAAAAAGCGTCGTTTTCGCTAACACCACTACAAACATTAGTCTCCTTGGTATCACCATGCACCTTACGGATGCATAATGGATATGTCGCCAATACACAAAAAGAAGAATGACGGCGTTGAAGGCAGTTCAAAGCTGCACTTGTAGTAGATATTATAGGATAGCTTGAAATTCGCATCGCTACGCACACAAACGTCCCTCCCCTTGCGGCACGCTCGAAGGTGATGTTAGCAGAGCCCCGAGAACCTATTTAGTTCTACGCCTGTAATTGAAACTAAAACTTTATCCATTTTTTTCAGTGTCATGAGCAACATTAACGAAAACTTCCAGTTTTCGAACATTCCTTATCGTCAATTAGAAAAAAAATGACCTCAATGTCTTTAGTTGAAGACAAGGGTGTACTCAAATGCATGCAATATTGAATCAGTACCATAGATAAGCGCTATTAACTGTTAGGGTTATTGTGAGCTAATTGTTAGAGCTCTTTGAGAAATTGTGATAAGCTATGCTCACTGCTGCATCGGGCAGATTAGATATGAAACACGCTCTCTTTTTTAAACGAACTCCTATATCGGCTTGGGGAGCGCACAAATCAGCCATTTAACCCAAGGACACAATAACGATGACGCGCAAGGACCAGTACTGGACAGCTAAGTTGAGAAATAGGCTGGATTACGTTCGCTCCCAGAATTTTTTGGCAGGGATGCTCTTGTGTCTATCCGTAACTTGGACCCTGTCACAAAACTTCACTTTGCGGCCACCAACGCCACAACAGCGAGAACACTTCTTTAACCACCCGACTGACATCTTGACAAGCTGCAGACGTGCAATAACCATGCATGCGTATGCAGCGCGTGTGCGGTAACCACTGAGCTCCCCGAGTATAGCTACCGTGGACCGACCGAAGATAAATTGTGCTGGCGAAAAAGAGTCCACACTTCATGAAGCGATGCTAGCTGCTAAGCGGGAGCGGCAGCGGCAATGTAAAGCCGACGCTACGTACGTGCTTAGGATGGTCAAGACCAAGAGTATGTAATCACGGGTGCCCATCATCTTTGCTGTCCTTTTAGCAATGCACCTCCAGTGCAAGGTGCGGAATTTTTTTTTTTTGCTTTGGGGCATATCAAATGCCTCCAGAGGCCAGAAGCGCGAAGGGTAATACAGATAACGGAATCTGGACACTCTTTCAGAATGAATATGGACATCACGAGTGACGACACCTTCTGGAGTTGCCTTATTGGTGGACTACCGTACATACTGGTACGTATGGGATTCGACCAGATGGTCGTGCAACGATACATGGCCGCCCAGAATCTACGTGCTGCTAAGACGTAAGCGCCCCTTTACTTCATAAGGGTAGCAATAGGTGTAAGTTTGTTGCAATCTGTATTTTTGTTCCTTTGCAATGTTTCAGAATAGCCGTTGCTGGTGCAGCCTTCGTCGTGTTCTTTTTTCTATTGGTAAGCATCGCCGCAGCGTACTTGATATATTGGTACAGGGACTGTGACCCTTTCGTAAGAGGTGATATCACGAACTACGATCAGGTTAGTAAATATTTATGCATAACTAATTACTTATATGAATGCTGGTCAGCTGTGTTAAATAGAGATCTGGGTGCACGTTAAAGAACCCCAGGTGGTCGAAATTTCCGGAGCCCTCCACTACGGCGTCTCTCATAATCATAAGGTGGTTTTGGGACATTAAACCCAACATACTATCATCATCATGTTTTAAATAGAACAGTTACATGTCCAGGTTTTCCACTCTTGAAAAAGCGTAGTGCTTGAGATATACATAGGACGTCTAATGATTTGGTGTTCAGACTAATTTTCGCAGACGTACAAGTATTTTTGCTCCGTTTGCGTTTGGGCACCTACAGATAAGAAAGGTAGCTCTTTCATTGGAGTGTTCACATTAACGTGCACACTAAAACGCCTCCTGTTGCGTTTTTCATGTGATGTGTGGTAAAAAAGTGTTATAACTTATGAGGAGTTGAAATGGCTTCTGTTGTTTGGCTAAGACTTAATTGCTCATGAACAACCCTAACAAAAATTCGGGTGTAAGCAGTGTGATTGCTCGAAACGTTCGGGGCTGTATTGAGCGATGTATTCAAAGTATAAGAGTATAAGCGGCTCTTCGAGAATGGTGCTTACTATATTTGCAAGTAGTGCACTTAATTTCGTTAGTGCTAAAATGAAAACAGAATGTCCATTTTTTATTGCGCACAGCCAAATCTCCAATATACTATAAATTTCAGAACGAAAACAAATATCTTACGAAATAACTGCTCTGTTCGCATAGGAAGTACATATTGTTAGCTGGTTTATTAAACAATCTTGTTATACAGCCCTGCTTTGTTTAGAGCTGTGTTCTGCCGTGTTTTTTTGTGCCGTGCTTTAATTATAAAACATGTTGCCAGGTTGGGGAGCGTACACAAGTGTTCTTCAGTGAAGCGAAAATTAGTGAAGCTTCCACTTGAAAAATTTTGGAGCTTCCAAAACATTTATGTGCAGCTTGAATATCTGCTACTTTAGATTTGCAATACCTCGCAGCAGGACTAGTGAACACGTAAAAATGACTGCGTTTATGCCTGCCCATTGTTGCAAACATTATGCGTGCGTTAGTTTGAAACGAAGTACATAAATTGTAAATGTCGAAGCTATTTGCTTTGCAAAGCCGCTGGCAACGCCACTTCCTCTTACAGATTGTACCCTACTACATAAAAGAAAGTCTTTCCAACGTTGCAACGCTGCGCGGCATCTTCTTGGCAGGACTCTTAGGTGCCACCACAAGGTTAGAGGTGTTGCCGTACTTTTTTCTGCCACTTGCGATATGTGGTCAACGACATTACAGTACGAGATGTCACTGCTGCTTGATTCTTTAAATGTTTCTAGCAACTCTTCGTAGTGGAACGTACCTTTTTTTTTATACGGCGTGACAGTTTGTTTGAAACATACAACTGAAGGAGTGGAAATTCTCCGCAAGAGAAATTCAAGTCTTGTTTATTTTGTCACTGCAGAAACTCCCAGCGAAGAATACTTCACTTGGTTTAGAAAATATAAAAAAATTATCTTGGTATTGTGGGGGTCTTCTTCCACTGCCATATATGTGAATAAATTTACTTAGGCTGATGTTACGTAGCCTAGCTTTATTTTTTTTGCTTTTAGCACAAGTGTAGTACAATGACATCTCACACATGGCTGCTGAGCTGCAGGTCACGGGTTCAAATCCCGACTGCGGCGGCTGCATTTCCGATGGAGGCGGAAATGTTGTAGGCCCATGTACTCAGATTTGGGTGCACGTTAAAGAACCCCAGGTGGTCAAAATTTCCGGAGCCCTCCACTATGGCGTCTCTAATAATCATAT